TTGTCCATGAACTTTTCATTCCATTGTCCATGAACTTTTTGAAGTCTTCTCACACGTGCTCATTCTTGAGGGTTTTTTTTTTAAACATGTTCTTATTTCTTGGCTGATTTCCACAACAACAGCCCTCTTATCTAGATATAAAGTACCTCCCCAAGGGGGGCCTTCAGAAATCCCAAAGAAAAGTTCCCTGGCCTTTAAACTCCCATTTTTCTGCAAGCTGTTTGAAGCTCCCTGGTATTCTTCAGTGGTTCTTTGTGAGGGCGTCTGTCAGATTCAGGGGTTTTGCTCTGGAAAAGAGGCCCAGAAGCCTTTAGTCTGCCGAGCATCAACAACTTTTGGCTCAAGCATTGCTGAAATGTGATAAGAAGAAATGCCGCTGTGCTTGGCAGTGTCTGCTGAAATCTGAAGATTGCTGCTCAGGGCCCCCTGAAAGGCTCTCAGGATTTGTATGGTGTCTCCTCTCCTGAGGATGTGAAAGCATGACCGTTGTTCACCGGCGTACTTGACGGCACCATGACCTGGGCAGCTCGCTCGGAGGACATCAGAGAAGGAGATGAAAGAGTAGCCTTTATTTTAGGATCGGCGCCATGCAGCCCCCATAAAGATCTAGTCTCAGAAACCATACACAGGGTCGCTGTGAGTTGGAATCGACTCCATGGCACATAAGCTAGCCAACCAACCAAAGCCATGCTAAAACCCCCAAAGCCAAAACCACTGCCATCAAGTCACTTCTGACTCCTAGCAACCCTGGATGTGGTTTTCGAGACCGCCATCTTTATTGTGAGCAGAGAGCCTCATCTTTCTCCCACAGAGCGACTGGTAGGTTTGAACCTTGAGGTTAGCAACCTAACCAGCAGTGCCACCAGGGGTCATGCATATAAACATAAAGAAATGGTATTTGTTTCCTGAACCCCTTGTGTTCTCCATTTGCCAACACTCCGGCCCCAGCGTAATAGTTGGAAGTTAGAGGTATGGCCCACCCACTGCCATCGGGTGAATTGTGGTTCCAAGTGACCCCTTTACAGGAGAAGACAGCCTTTCATCTTTCTCCCTCAAAGGCACTGGTGGACTTGAACTGCTGACCTTGTGGTTAACAGTCCAGCGAATCAGGCTGTGAACCGCAAGGTCAGCAGTTCGAAACTACCAGCTGCTCCGCGGGAGAAAGATGAGGTTTTCTGCTCCCGTCAAGATTTACAGCCTCAGAAACCCTGTACAAGGGTCGCTATGGGTCGGAATCAACTTGACGGCACTTAACAACAACAACAACAATGATGACCAGGGTTCCTTTGTGGAAGAAGTCTATTATTATCTCTGAAGCCCCCTTGTAAGAAGCAGCCACCATTTGTACATAGAACAATGTCATGCACATTTCTCAGGCGGCCTGACTTGAGAAGGACAAGCTGGCTCCACCCACCCCAACGCTGGGTAACAGGGTGTCTGTGTACCACCAGCGTGCCACTCGGGAGGACCCTCGGGGAGGATGCTGGGATGTGTCCTGGTCCTCAGGACCACACACCTACACCACGTGCTCACACGGTCTGGGCCTGCCTCCCTGCGCTCCATCACCCACCGCAACTCAGGGAGGGCTGTGGGGCCATGTTCTAGCATGTCCCTGGCAAACCCTACCCTCCTTGTTTCTGGAGGCCTGGTAAGAGATGTTGGGGCCCAGAAGGACACTAATACCAAGAGCCTGGAGAGATTGTTTCCTGGCTTTTGGTTTTATGGTGAGGTCCGGAAAGCCTGTCTTTCCTCCCTGCCACACTCTCATCCCTTAGGACATCAACTTTTGCTTTGAACTCCCACACAGAGACCTGGCTGAGGTGAGGTGGCACCTGTGTGGGGACCAGCCAGAAGCCTGCTCTCTCCTAGACTGTTCTGGGCACTGGAACCACGGGTATATCCCCATGGGGAGAGCGTTGTGGTAGAAGTTACTGGAAAGAAAACACTGAGCAAACAGCCAGGAGACGTTGGGGGGGATGTTGCAAATGGGTGGGGGCGCTCCGAGACACAGAGGAGGCACTCGGCACCCTGGGTAGCAGGGGAAACACATGTTGAGCACAGACCCCTGACAAGACGCAGCTTGTTGGGAAAATCACCAAGAGCGGTTTCCTTGAGTGTTGACGACACTGGAGGTGGGGGACAGGAAGATGAGGAAGTGGCCGGGCAGGCAGTGTCTGAGCAGCCAGCTGGGCCTGTCTGGAAAAGCTGTGTCCGCCTGTCTGTCTGCATGCCTTTCCAGCTGGGCATCCTCGGCGTGGGCTTTGTGTCAAGGTTATTTTCCATCTGTGTACCTTACTATCTTTGTGTACGGGCCTTGGCCTCATCAGCCTATGCTGTGTCCGTTTGCCTCGTGTGGCTGGTGTATAGATTATACAAGGCGCCGTTTTAAAGAATAGTAGCTTCTTTTCTCATCATTTCGGAGGAGAAAAGTCCACGTCGGGATCTTGGCCTGTCAATAGCCTACATTCTTACCTTGTAGGTGGTCTCTGCCCCTGACCACCTTGCACCCCATGTGGGATGCTGTGTTGACTCTGCTCCCTGAGGTTCTTGGTTCTGTTAGAAGTGCAGTAACAGAACTAACAAACAGAAAATTACCCTGTCAGATGTCCGAATTCAGAGTACCATCTCTAGAGGAGGAAGGCTTTCTCTCTCTGTCGGCTCTAGGGAAAGGTCCTGGTCTCCTTTCAGCCCCTGCAGGCCCAGCAGTCATTGGAAATCCCCATCTGTCTTGGTATCAGTCCTCCCCTGGGTCTAGATGGCTCTCACCACATCCACAGGACGTGGAATTCCACTCCTGGCTCTGCTTTCTTGGCCGTTGTAGGCCCTCTCTGCACTCACTTGTCTCTGTGACGTGCTGAGGGCCATACCCCAGGAAGACTCACCTTGACTTCGGAGTTGTAGGAGCTGTGTTTGGATCCAGGGTGTTGTCACCCACCCTTAATGCTCTTCATTGGCGTGTCACATCAGATGACGTGGTGAGGACTCATTACCTAGCCGTCCCCCCACAGTGTTAAACAACTGCCAAATCTCTGAGAATCTTGGCCTAGTCAAGTTGACATATACTTCTGTGTGGCACAGTTCTCCATCTTTGACATTTTGTAACTCAGACGTGATGAGGTTGAAGACCCATCCTGCACTGGAGCGACCTCATTAGCGTAAGAGAAAACCGTATTTCCAAATAGGGTCACGTCCACAGGCACAGAGGTCAAGACCCCAACTCATTTTGGGGAACACAGTTCAACCCCCATTTCATGTGGCCTCTAGAGGGCCATTAGGAGTCGGAATCGACCTGAAGGCAGTGGGTTGGGTTGGATTTTTATCTTCAGTATGTAATGTGCTATATAATAATTGTCACACAGGATTATAACTCTTTATAAAGGTCTTGTTCATTGATTTCATCTAAGAATTCTAGATACTGTTTTTAAAATTGGCTGCTTTTTAAACATTCTTGAGGAAAGAAAGTAGAATTGTCCCATGAGGATAAAATCAAAACACAAAACAAAACCCAAACCCCCATGGTCTTGGAGTCCATTCTGATCCATAGTAACCTATAGAGCAGAGTCCAGCTGTCCCGCGGGATTTTCTAGGTCATACTCTAAAGAGATTCTGACTCATAGTGACCCTGTACAGGGTTTCCGAGGCTGTAAATCTTTACAGGAGCAGAAAGCATCATCTCTCTCTCTCTCCCACAAAACAGCTGGTACTTTTGAACTGTTGACCCTGAGGTTAGCAGCCCGATGCGTAACCACTATGCACGACACATCACCACCACCACCACTCTTAAGAGGAGCAGATTACTAGATCTTTTTCCCACAGAGAGGCTAGTGAGCTCGAACCAGCATCCTTTGAGTTAGCAACTGAGCACTTGCACCAGCAACCTCTGCACTACCAGAGCACCTTCCTGAAGGTGAAATAACTAGATATGTAGATTTCCAAGTCTTCGAGAAAAAAAGAGCGCACCTGGTCAGGGCCGCAGTAGGTGGATTGGGAGAAAAACCATAACACAGAACTCAAATTCTTGAAATTCCCAACTTACTGGACCACCTTAGACTCAGGGACTCCCTAAGACTATTGCCTTGAGATATGTTTTTTTTTAACCTTGCACTGAAACTATCCACTGAGGTCAGCTTTTAGATTAATAACAGACTGTTTCACAAAAGACAGCATCACCCATGAGTACTGTGTTCCTCTCAAAAAGTCACCTCAGCTAGCAGCAGCAGGGCACGAAACAGAGCGGTGGGCTTTTCCGCCAACGCAGCATGTAGAGCTGCGTACCATCGGGCAGACTTGCTTGTGGAGTGGTTTGCTTTTGGACACTAAAAGGGGAGCTCAGTGGTTCAGACACAATCACAGTCGTGAGGCTGTATCAGGATCAGGCAGCATTTCGTTCTCTCGTGCACAGTTGTGCTGTGAGTCGGAACTGACCCAACAACACCCAACAGTAACAGGTTTGCTGACCCACGAAGCTCCAGCTGAGTTTGGGTACTGAGACTTATGATGGTGCCCTTCAGGAATTTATCAGCATCACTAAAGAAGCTTTGTAGCTCGGCTTGAGCAGGGCAGAGGCCAGGCCAAGGGGCCAAGGACCAGAGAGGGGTTAGCCTGGGGGCATGGCAGAGAAGCTGTCTTAACCAAAGAGAACTGTGTCTTGAATGTTCTTGTCCCTGAACCCTGCCAACTTCCTTACCTAACAAGACTCATCAGCATGAGACTTGTCTCTGAGGTCTCTGTGGCCATGGTGATGAGTTATAGAACCCAACAAAGAAGTCAAGAGTGCCACTGGAGGGGCATTGAGTGGCAGTCATGGTGAGGAAGGTTGGAGGGTGGCCGCGGGTCTGACCTCCACTTCATTGGAATTGGCCTTGGACTGATGCTGATGGTGACTGTCTTCCTCCTGCCCCCGGCGAAGTCAGAGGAGGTCAGACGGCACCACCATGCTTGTTTTTAAGAAAAACCTTGTGTTAGCTGTGACTGTGACTCTGCCCTCCCTCTTGTTCCAGTTTCTGCAGATGGAGGTAGTGAGCCGTCTGCCCTAGTCGATGACAACGCCAGCGAGGAGGACTACAGTTACGAAGAACTCTGCCAGGCCAACCCTCGCTACTTACAGCCCGGCGGGGAGCAGCTAGCTGTCAATGAGGTACTGAACTTGGCCCTCTAATGTTTTGTTATTGTAACTAAATCTCATCTGAAACCTTGAACTCTGATTAGAACAACACTGATTTTCTGGCCTTGGGCAGGAGAAGCCCATGCAATTCCATTTTCCAGATAACTTGGGCACATCTCCTGAAATACTCGTAGCAGTAGTTCTTGGTGCTTGGACCAGGCCTTTTGGTGTTTGGTTGTAGCTCATGTAAATTCCCACAGTGCATCTCTGTTACAGTTAAGATTTACACATTAATCAACACTGGAGACATCGAAGTTGAGGTGCGTACTAGCCCATGGCAGACTTAATTAACTACCCATTTCCTGCCACACTTTCTGTAGAAACCTTGGTAGGAGGCTTCATCCAATTGTGTGGAGCTCAATTTCCCAGTAAATCGGAATCCCCCTAATATATATAACATGTATTAGCCCGTGGGTGCTGAGGAGACAAGCAGAACTCGGAAGATGGGCCCATCGACTGTAATTTTTGAGTGACTGTCTCTGGTTGGTTTTTTGTTTTGTTTTGATCTGACTTCTAAAATGGACTGTTAAGTCTCCTGAGGTGGTGCATGGGTCTCTTTAACTTGCAGTGAGCTGTAACGTTAGAGATCACATTTACTCACTTGGGAAGTATGAATGATGGACTGGGTGAGGATGTCAGGGATTCTCGATGACTCACATGTGTAACTGTTGTGTGCTGGGGGTTTTGACATCTCGTTTGCTCAGAAACCATTTTCGGTGGGGACTTGGTCCTGGCTCTGGGCTGCAGTCCAAATAATTCAGTTTTGTTGGAGAGGTGATACACAGATAAGTGAGCTATTGTATATACATATGCAATATATATATACTCTCTGGTAGCGTAGTGGTTACGAGTTGGGCTGCCAACCTCAAGGTCAGCAGTTTGAAACAAGCAGCAGTTCTGCAGGAGAAAGATGAGGCTTTCTGCTCCCGTAAAGATTTACAGCCTAGGAAACCCTGTGCAGGGTCACTATGAGTCAGCACTGACTCCACGGTACTTAACAATAACATATTTATGTTTAAAAGTAGATTTGGAGTTTCCTTTAAGACTATTCAGTTGATGCTTCTGAATGTGAATATGGTGCCCTAGTATGTTTATACAAATAGGTCATGGAAAAATGGCATTGGATGCTAATGAAGTTTTTCCTGAACTTTTTGAAGCCCCCTTATACAGGGTCTTTGCTCAGTACTGCGTCACTACATGTTAGATATTGATGGAGTGTACCAATATCAGTTGCTGTTGAATTAATTCTGACCCATGGCTCAGAGTACATGTCTCAGAGTACAACTGTGCTTGGTGAGCTTTTCAGTGGCTGTTTTCTCCAGAGTAGATTACTAGTTCTTCTGAGGTCCGGGGTGGACTCGAACCTCCAACCTTTCAGTTAATATCCGAAAAAGCAAACTGCCACTGATTGGATTCAACTCATAATAACTGGTGAGGACAGAGTTCCAGCGACTCCAGTGGGTTTCCGAGACTGTCATCTCTACGGGAGTGGACAGCTGTCCAGTGTCTGACCCCTGGAGAGTTGTAACAGATGGCGCGTAGAGCTGGATCTCATCCTGAAAGAGTTCACGCCACATCCCCACCCCACCCCACCCCGTGATGCCAGCCCAGCCCTCAGCACAGCCCTGTGTCTTCCTTCAGCTCATCAGTGATGGCAGTGTGGTCTGCGCAGAAGCCCTGTGGGACCACGTGACCATGGATGACCAGGAACTGGGCTTCAAGGCCGGGGATGTCATCCAGGTCCTCGAGGCCTCCAATAAGGACTGGTGGTGGGGCCGGAATGAGGACAAGGAGGCTTGGTTCCCTGCAAGCTTTGTGAGGGTGAGTAGGAGGCATTCTCCACTGTCCCTGGTACCCGTGGGGGGTGACAGAGACTTGTGTGAGAGGCCAAGTCTCACTCTGTACAGACTCAGCCCTGTCCTAACGGTGTTTAGTCCTCCATCAAAGTGAAATCTGTACAGTAGGCCTTCCAGAAGTTTGTGGGAAAAGGGACTGAAAAGGTAACGGGGCTTTCCCATGAACTTTCTAAAGCCCCCTTGTATATGTTACTTTAGTCTCCAAAGATAAAATACGAGGGGGCTTCAGGAAGTTTGTGGGAAAATCCCATTATCTTTTCATCCCCCCCTTTTTATTTTATAAGTTTTTCTTCTGAATTGAGTGATAGTTTCATGGGAGAACATCAATTTCACACTCATCATTTCATTGCAATGATTACAGTTTCCTCTGTGCATCAGCACTCAACAATATTTGCTTCTGTTCTCTCTGTTTTGTTTCTTGTTTTTTTGGAGGGGGATGATGTACACAAAAACACTCAGGAATATATAATAATTGAAACAATTCAAGGGCACATTCTGCAAGCCAGCCTCCTGGCCGCCAGCTCTCAATCCCTCTCTTCCCATGAATCTAGCTAGGGTCCTCAGCTGCTCCCTCTCTCCATGTCCTCATCTCTGTCTCCATCTCTGGTGTCACAGATTCTCTGGATAGGGTCCGACATTCCGCTTGTGTTCGTCTCCCTTGATGGTGGGTCCTAGGGTCCTCTATTCCTGGAATGTAAGATTAACTACTCTCCCCTTTTTGTTACAAAACATCTACCTTTACAGTTGTGACGGTCGCAATTAGTCATTTTCATTACCTTTTGTCACAAACTTCCGGAAGCCCCCTTGTATAAGATGACCAAAGGTCGTTCAGGAATTTGACTGGGCTGAAGTGCACAATGTAACTACAGTGAGCCGGCTCTCTGCCAGTGTTATTCCTTGAGTCGCTGCCACAGAGCCAGCTGGTGGCGCTGCTGCACCCGGGTGTCAGCTCCCCCTGTGTCGCCCCCAGTTACGAGTGAACCAGGAGGAGCTGCTGGAGAACTCCATCAGCACCCCTGGCGAGGAGCAGGATGAGGGCGCTGGCCAGGCCCGCCTCAGACACGCCGAAAACAAGCACCAGATGCGGACCAACGTGATCCAGGAGATCATGAATACAGAGCGCGTTTACATCAAGCATCTCAAGGACATCTGTGAGGTGAGCCGCTGGGCCCCACCCCTCCCGCAGGCCTGCTTGGTTCCTGTGTGGCTTCTTCCTATCGTGGTGGTCTTCCCACCTCAACTGGGGACCCCGAGGGCAGGGACTGAGCACGCCTCCTGTGTATGTCTCTGCCACCTTGCGTGTTGCTGCGAGGCTGGCCAGGTTTCAGTGAAGCTTCCAGACTAACACGGTTAGGCCTTCCAATTCTAAAACTCAGCCAGCGAAAGCCCTCTGTTTGGATCACAACTGTGTGATCCCTGACCAATCACGGGGCAGGCAGCGTTTGGTTCCCTTATGCATGGGGTAGGTAACAGCATCACAACATACACCAGTGAGTTGTAGCCAATCCTCTTTAAAGGGCGCCTTGCAGCTAATTCATTGGAGTCTTGGATGATTCCAAGTGAATGACTTTCACGGAAGGCCACAGCTTCTCTCTGGACTTGACAAAGGTCAGTCTGTGTCCACAGCCCCCACTACATGGAAGCCTGTGCCTCGCAGACCTGACTGAGGCACTGGTCTCCGAGACAGATCGAATTCTAGGCTTTATCTAGTGACATCAAGGCTGCTCTCTCTGTGGACCACGGCTTTCTCTTCTGCACTCAAAGGTGTTTTCTGTTGTGGTTCTGAGGTGCCGTGAAGTCAACCCTGTGTGCAACAGAATGAAACACTGCCCAGTCCCGCCCAATCCTCACAACTGTTGTGTTAGTCCATCTGACTCGGGGGGTGGGGGGGTCTTCCTCTTTTTCACTGGCCCTCCACTTTGCCTTCTGCAGAGACTATTTTATAATCTTGTTCTGTTCCTAATTGCAAACAATTAGCCATTAGTACAACGGGCTTCAGAAAGTTTGTAGAAAAAGAATTCAAAGATAATGGAATTTTCCCAAAAACTTCCCGAAGCCCCCTCATAAGTGTATATATGGAAGGCTGGGAAGCTTTCATTTGGATTGTGTGGGAGCCTGCCGTTTAGCGTCCCAGAATTCTGTCTTTACTGCAAAGGGTCATCTTGGCAGTGGCATCTTAAGAGAACTGCCATTCTGTGATTAGATTAGCTGACATTCCAGTGTGTAACTGACTTGTGCTAACTTCCTCTGTGTCAATGTGTGATTAAGGGAGTTTCTTAAGGTGGCATTTTAGGAAAATGACCTTAACTGCTAGTATTGGGAGTCCCAATACGGCGCTGTGGGATAAACACTGGACCGCTGATCCCAAGGTCGGTGGTTCAAGCCTACCAGTCGCTCCTTGGAAACTCTCTATAGGGTCAATGGCACTTAATAATGACAGCCATAACCCCTGAGCGTCAACGGTGTGCTACTACTCTGTTAGATTGATTCACTCATCTACTGCTCACAACCCACCAAGCCGTCTGTCAGTCTGTCTGTTGTGGGGGCTTGTGTGTTGCTGAGATGTGGGAAGCTTTGCCACCAGTATTTTAAAGAGCTATAGAGTCTCCATGATGCACACATTTCAATGGAGCTTCCAAACTCAGTATATGACTAAAGGCTTGACGACCTCTTGCTGAGCATTAGTTAATGACATCAGAGTATTGGTCAGTATAGCGCTGCAAGATCAACTGCTGGCTTGGAAGGCAGCCGCGACTCCAGCGTGCTAGTCATGGTGAAGATACCGAGTTCAAGACCAGCCAGAGCCGACTGGACAGCAACTCAGAACCACAGTGCTCACAACGCTAGGCAGGTTCCCTTGTCCCCCATACTGCAAATCGGAACACAGGTGTGCATAGTTTGTTTTGTTCTGTTTTGATCTTGCAGGGCTATATTCGTCAGTGTCGGAAACACACAGCGATGTTCACAGTTGCTCAGCTGGCCACCATCTTCGGAAACATTGAAGACATTTACAAGTTTCAAAGAAAGTTCCTGAAAGACCTTGAGAAGCAGTATAATAAAGAGGAACCTCACCTCAGTGAGATTGGGTCCTGCTTCCTCCAGCATGTACGTCACCCCGCATCCGGTTCTATACTCCCTCTGAAGTAGGCCCCTGCCAGAAATGGGGGTCCTTAGTTCATGTGCTTGTGAGTTTAATTTTCCATAGAATGGAGAGGTCACGTGTGGGAAATCTGCTTTGATTAGTTTATGGGATTAATCTTGACCTAGTTAAATACGCCAAGCCCTTTTGTTGTTGTTGTTATGTAGCGTATCACACTTTTATGTCGTCTACAGTTTAGGGCATTGTGTTTGGAGTCTTTTGTAATCATGTTGTTGTTGTTGTTAAGTGCCGTCGAGTC